GGGGGGGGGGGGAGGTGTGCTCTAACCCTGACATTGGACAGTCCTAGGGTACGGGGACTTGGGAGGAGTTAAGGACCCTGGCCTCTAGACCTTTGAAAGGATTCCCTGGCCTGGCCCTTCCACCTGTATTCCAGCTGGCCCTACTTTATTCTAACTAGGTTCTGAAGTGCAGATGGCTTCAAGAATTGGGAGTCTGTTCCAGGAACCACACACATCTTGGGATTGGGTGGGCACCTTCTGTGAGTGGGGCCTCCAGAGAGAGGGTCTCTGAGCTTGGTGTTCTCTTGGAAAGGGGCAGTGGTGCCCCTTAGGCCACACACTCCACGGGTCTTGGGCTCTGAGACTAAGACTGTGCCAGCTCACCTGGAATGACTCCCTGCACAGCCAAAGAGGGGGCTTTTGTAGGGGTCTGCAGGGCAGCACCCTGTGTCCAGGGCTGGGGGTGTCAGGTTGGCAGAGATGGCTTTGGATGGCTCTGAGGTATTGGGGTTCTGCCTTGTGCTTGGGGGTTGAATCCCTTCCTGTACACAGTCAAGTGCAGTTTGGTCTAGTCCTGGAAACCCTGTAGGGGAAGTAGGCTCCTGGAGGCAGTTTTACAAGGGTACTGTGGGTATTTCTACCTGGAGAGGTAGGAAACTAGTGTGATACTGTAAGTATTCTGGTATGCTAAAAGGGAGGGAGAGAATGTGCCAGGGGCAGAATCATGTTCTGCCCTTGGTCTAGGTATTTATTCCTTTCCTCACTGCTACAGGCCAGTATCTTGAGTTTTCTTTCGAAGGGCTCCAAGTCAACTGCTCTTGAAAGCCAAGCCTGGCCTACCCTTCCCTCTGTCAGCAGCTGCTGCAGGCACAAGCAGAGGATGAGGGAGGGAAAGGGTAAGCCCCCCCTCCCCCAGGGATTTGGCCCCATTTCTCCAGAGGGAATGAGGCACAATTGGATCCCCATCAATCCAGATCTGAGGCTTGAGGAGGCCCCTCCACGAGTCCCCCTTGGAGGGGCACTGGCCCTTGGAAGGGTTGTCTCCCAGAGGAAGAGTGATTTGCCCATTCTGACCCAAGTCATTTTACTCTTAGTGTAAGGTGATTCTCTTCTGTTAGTGGGAAGGAGACTGTTCTAAGACCTTGTCATGGCTTCCAAAACCAAACAGGAGCCTGTGGTCCCCTAGCTCGCTTGGGCAGGTTTTCCTAGTCTAGTTCCTAGAACACCACAGCAGGTACACATACTTGGGGTGCAGCCGCTGGTCCAGAGGAGGTGGCAGCAGAGTGCTGCCCAGGAAGTTCCTTCTGGACCAGTTCCAGCTCTTTTGGGCCAATGGGGTGATGGTGCACCCTGAGCTTTGGGAGCTACAAGTAAGCTTCCAACATGAGCCACTTACTCATTCCACGGACATTTATTCACAGTGGGCCCCCTTGCTGGGCCTGGGGCTACTGAGAGCCTGGACACAGACTCCCCGGAAGAGCTGTCAGTCTGGAAAGAAAGACACCCCCCCTCTGCTATTTGAACCATGCATGGTGCCAGGAACTGAGGTGTAGTGGAGAAGAAACCAGATATGCTTCCTGCCCTCAGGAGGTGCCCAGTTTAATGGGGGAGACAATAAATATGTAATGAATATACAATTAGTTGTGATAATGAAGAGTCCCGCGCTGTGGGAGAAAAGAGGAATCACGGTGATGGAGATCGTCATCGTGTGGATTGTGGTGATGGTGTCATGGGTGAAGATGTACATCAATAGAACGGGAAAAGATTAGGAAATACAAGGAAGTGATAATCGTGCCTTTTTTGAACAGAAAAGGTGGTAAAAGATCATAAACCCAGATGACTGGTGAGTGGGGTGTGTCACTCTAGAGCAGGAGGCTTCCCCAGGCTTTCTGTGGCAAGGATGCCTGAGCTGGCCCAGGAGGCCAGTCATCTGGGCAGGTGGAGGTTTGGGCATACTTCTTTCAAACAGAGGAATGGGCTGACTGGGGACAGAAGCCCGGGGATGAGACACAACCATCCAGGAAGAATGGGAGGGTAGTTGGGGCCAGAAGCCTCAGGAAGTCATGTCACTTGTCCATTTGCACACCTGAGAAATGGGAACACCAGGAACAAGTGGAGGGGTAGTTTCAAGCAGGTGCTCCATCAATCTTTTCCTTTGAAAAGCTCTGGAAGTGCAGCTAAGACATACGTTTGACCTTGAGGGTCCTTTAGGCCCTGTTCCTTCCCTCTGAGGCGTACACAGCTGGTCTGACCACCTGATGTCTGGCCTGGAGCAAAGGCCCAGCATCACTCGACCCAAGCCAGGCTCAGAGAGAGGATGTCACATTGCCTCCCACCCTCCTCTTAGCACACATTGTACAGGTTAGGGAAATGAAGGAGAGGACAGGTGGCTGGCCCCAGGTTACACAAATTAGGGTCAGGCTGGAGTTTGACGCTAACACCTAGGCAGTCGGATCACTGCCTGCTTCACTGCGTCCCTGGACAGATCATGGAGCCAGACACACTCAAGTTCACACCTACATTGCTCTGTTTTATAGAAACGGGGAATTTCTTTCTCACTCCTCCGCAGCTTCCCCTGCCCTGGGATGGGAACAACTTGCTTCCTCAGGTGGCTGGCTCCCCCGTGAGGCGGCTTTGACTACCTGAGGTTCACCTTTTTTAATGAACTGAGACCCTACTCTCTGGAATGTCCCTCCTCTACAAAGCAGCCCTGCCTGCGCGGAAGTGCACCCCTAATAAGTCTCTGTGAGGGGAGGGGAGTCCAGGCAAATGCAGACGCTGGGAACCCAGGGCCCTTCCCTTCATCCTGACACCTTCCTGGAGGCTGCTCATGGTCACACGGATGCAGGGCAGTTGACTTCCCCGCGGGGAAACGGGAGGCCTGGAGGGTAAGGCAGCTCCGAGGTGTCAGGATTCGAACACGCGTTCTGGCCTGGAATCCCCCGAAGGACACAGAAGCTGGAATAGCTGAGAAACCCCTGCCCGGGGCTGGTGCCCTCCTTCACGGCGCCGTTCATCATTCAGCCGTGTGTTTTACTTCATTTTTAAGAACGTGTCTTTATTGATTTCAGAGAGAGCGGACGGGAGAGGGAGGGAGAGAGATGGAAACATCGACGCTGAGAGTCACTGACCCGCTGCCTCCTGCACGCCCCACACTGGGGATCGAACCCGCAATCGAACCCCTGGCTCAACGGTCGACGCTCCACCACTGAGCCACGCCGGCCGGGCACGTGTGGCTACTTCCCTTTAACTTACATTTAAGCGAGGAGGTCAGAAAGCAGGCAGGGGGCCCCTGACGGTCCTCCTAGGCCCAGCCCGCGCCTCGGCTGGGCCTTGTCGGCGGCCGCGCGGGGCAGGGCCCGGCGCCGGAAGTGCGTCACCCAGGGCGCCGGAAGTGAGGGAGGCCCCGCCCCCGCCGGGGTCTCTGTGGAGCCGCGGACGCGCCGGCTTTGAGCGTCCCCGGTCGCCTAGGCGGGAGGCCCGCCCTCGACATGGCCAGCTCCGGAGAG